ACCCCCTGGGCTCCACCGACACCCACACCCGGCTCATCATTTTTGGTAGGGCAGCACCATGGGGGTCACCTCTTCCTCCATACATCCTCACTCATCTCCCGACCTCCCCCCCCCGGTAAAAACATCTCTCTGCTATTTCTTTCCCATTAGAAAACCCAAATATTCCCAGAGGAACAGAGGACTCCAATGGTGAGTAGTGGTGGGCACCAGTATTTCCACTCAAAACCCCTCAGAGAGAGAAGGACTATGAAGAGACCATCTCTCCTTGCATGGCCCCAAGCCCTCAAGCATCTCTCCTTGCATGGCCCCAAGCCCTTGAACATCTCTCCTTGCATGGCCCCAAGACCTTAAACATCTCTCCTTGCATGGCCCCAAGATCTTGGCCATCTCTCCTTACTTGGCCCCAAGCCCTTGCCCCTAGCACCAAAAGGGTGCAGCATCTCTTGACCTGCTGCCTCTCCTACACAACCTCCATAGCAAGTTTAGGATGGGGATCTCTCCCTGTCCCACCCCCCCCAAAAAAAAAGAGGTGGTGGCCCCATCCTACTTCGAACCCAAGTGTCAAGACCCAGCTCCTGAACTCCCCAACCCTTTTCTCCTCCTGCCTAGGTTCACTTACCAGCCACTGCGGCTTCAGACTAGTTTTGGCACTCACCCTAACAGTGATCCTGGAGCTAACGTGAAGCTTCGCCTGCCTCTTCCTCCTCCTCCTCCTCTTCCTCCGTATGGCTCCACCTGGCATTCCCACCTTCCCCAACCGGTTCTCTCGCTCTCTCTCTCTCATTTATTTTTTTTTTTCTATACTATTTACAGTCTCAGTCTCTTTCTGTCTGTGTCTTGGCTTCCTCAGACAATTTAATTAAAAGGAAAAAGAAAAATCTCCCCTGGTAGAAGGTTGTGCTTAATGTTTTGCCTTGTGCTGATGCACCCAGAACCATGTTGGTGCACCTAGAGGCTTTACAAGGACTGGGGGGGGGGGGGGTGTCTCTTATGCAAGGGCTAAAAGTCCCCTGGAAAAATCCAGTTACACCATTCCCACTGCACTGAGCTGCTTCAGGTCTCAGCTCCCAAGCTAGGAATGACATGGATCCCCAACAGGCCCCGGGAACGCAAAAATCTGTGGATCACTGGCCTGAAACCCCAGGACTTTGGTTGGGATAAATTGGTTTTGCTGGAAGATGGGAGCCGTGCACAGCACTTGTCCTGGCCCGGATGGTCAATCTCTAGTGACAGGTGGCTCCAGACCCAAAATGTCAGCTCTCACACATGAGCAGGCAGCACGTGTCCCACCCATGCCACCCTCCCCATCCCTCTTAGCTAACTGTTGCCCTGGAAACAGTTAATGGTGCAGTAGGGCCAGATCCTGCCTGGTCCTGTGGTAGCTCATGCTGGGGTGCATCCCACCATGGTGTCAATCCTGCTGCAGGATGGATCTTTGCAAAAACCAAGTGGTTTTGCCCCAGTCCTGCTTGCTTCTGGGAGTTGTTGGTGCTTTCCCTGTCTGCTTTCCCCCCTGCCCCGTGGTGCCCCAAGAGCACCCAGCCCAGGATCCCGGGGGGAGGGGGGCAGATGCAGAGGGAGAGGAGCTCAAGGATGGGATGTTCTCCTGCCTTTTCCTCCAGGAACTCTTAATCCTAGAGGATTATCCAGCAGCCGAGCTGAGCAGAGCTTCATCTTTCCAAAGCCCCGTACGAGTGCTAAGCATTATTATTACTATTATGATTAATTATTATTAAGCAGATTCAGTCCTTACCATGCTCCACTGCCAACCTCGCTCCGAGCCATTTCCCGGCCTCAAAGGAGCTGAACAAACCCGCAGCAGCTCAGGAGTTTCTTCCCATACCCAATAAATTGGGCTGGCAGAGATGCAAGGACAGACAGGGGCTGGCTGGGATGCAGGAGGATCATCCCAAAACATCTGGATGCCTTTGGACCAGCTTCCCAAGCTCCTGCTCCCTCCCTGACTGCTTTCATACCTCCATTCCAACATAATTTTTTTTTATTATTTTTTTTTTTCCATGGGAACCCCTTTATTTCCTAAAAGAACCTTTTTATTTTCAGAGGAACCTTTCTTTTTAGGGAAATCCCACTGACTTAGTTTACCCCCACACTGCTGAGCAGGCAGGAGAGCTCCCCCCTACCACAGTGCTGATGCTTCTCACCCTCCTTGCTGGATTGGAGATGCTCCAGGGCCCTCATCCCAATGTGATTAAACAACCATTAGACCTTCTCACTTGGAAAGAAAAAAAATAAAAATGGGGATTTACAGACTCCCAAACCTCCATTTAAATGCAAATGTGGTGATTTTTAGCCTGAAACCATGGAAATGAGGAACATTAGAGAGGCAGTGCCACCACCAACTGGCTCCACTTGGTGCCAGCTCTAGAACAATGTGGCCTCCCCATCCAGTGGCTGGGAGAGGATTGGTGGGCTTGGGGGTCCTGCACATCCCAAATCCACCCTTCTGTGGGCATTCAGGGTGCTTAGATCTTTCCCTGGTGATGGCTCAGGCTATAGGATGGGACCTTCTCGGCACCAGCAGCACCCTAATAATGACTGAGGGGACACCAGAGAAACTGCCTGCTTTCCCAAAAGCCCTCCAAGGTGAGGAACATGGAGAGATGCCAAAGGAGAGATCCAAAGTCAAACCTCCCACGCCATGCTGGACCCGACCTTCACCTCCTCCTTCACCCACCATCTGCCTCCCCATCCCAATCCCGCTTCCTACAAATAATTCCAAAAGACACCAATTAAATCCCTGCCTCCCCCCTGTTGGATGAGGCCCTGGCAGTGAATAATGCAGGAGGTTGGAAGGGGAAAAAGCTGCTCAGGGTGGTTCATTATTGATGAGAGACGACAGATCGGTGGCTGACAACCTGCCGGAGCAATATGATTAGCTGGTAAAAAATTAATCACACTTCTGAGAGCTGATGCCAGCCCAAAACCCCACAGAGGAGCATTATCGATGGTCCCTAATTTCAGGAGACTTTGAGAAGATTTTAGGAAAATTGGGACCAGATAATTACATTCAATTAAAGTCACCAAGTGCTGAGACGTCACCACTGCCCAGGGAAGCTGTGGCCACTCGTCCTCTTCACCCCAAGGCACAGATCAATAAACATTTACTCAGGGATTTGTGTTTTGCCACTGAGATTCTCCTTCCTAACATCATCTCCCATAGCTTGAGTTCAGCAGCTGGGCTCTGGAAAGCCCATCCTGCCATTTGGGAAGGCAACAGCACCCAGAGCATGATGTCCACAAAAAATGCCCTCACTTCCCCTCGTCCTCCATGTTTCTGCATCCCAAGGTCCATAACTGTGGATAACTGTGCTCATCCTGACTATAACTCCAGTTGGGATTTGGCAGCCCAACCTTGGACCTCTCAAGAATGGAGCACGTCTGAGCCCCCAGCCCTTTGAGTTATTAGGGTGGGAGGCACAAAACCAGGATGCTCCAGCTCGACACGGCTGGGAATGCCAGTGGGAGCGGGGGTGGGCTTTGCTCTGTGCTTCCCCTGCCTCCCCCATCTCCTTACTGAGAACTGTTGCCAGGTCCACAGGGCCACCAAGAACATGGATAATTCACACTTCCCAGATCAGGACCATGAGGATCTGTGCAGAGCCACCTGTGGATTAAAAACAGTGACAGGGAAAGATGAAGAACGCCAAGGTCATGGCCCATCACACCCACACCTCCTACAAGGAGCATCCCCTGGACTTATTTCTCCAGCAAATCCCTCTGGATTAGTCCCAAGCCAGTGGGGAGCAAGTCCCTGCATTCAACCAGGAGCAGCCACCCACCCCCACCCACATTTTGACTGTTTCTGGGTCACCTTGTAGGGCCTTGTTTCTTTATGCGTCTCTCAGCATGTGAGACATTCCCCTGGGGGGGAAAGGAAATGAATTTTCTCCCTTTGAATTCAGCTCACTTGGTGGGGGCTGCAGGGGGTGACATTCCCCTGGTTCCCTCCTCTGCCCCTGCTGTGGCCCAGACACGGGGACCCAGTTTGCCTCGGGGACATTGGGGACAACAATCCCTCTAAATCTTTGAAATTCAGAGCAGAACCAGACACATCACTGACACCTTTCCAGGGGGGAGACAGAAACAAGCGTGACACTGTCTGGCAACCTTCGTGCCTCAGTTTCCCCACAGGAGTCTAATCCCTCACTCAGCAGCAAACTGAAGTGCTGCCTTGCACCTCTCCCATCCCAAACTTTTTTGTGGTCCCCAAGATTTTGTTCATTTCCCTTGATTCCTCCCTCTCCCCACACACATGCAGGGCTCTGCAGCTTCACTCCTACCTACATTTGCTCTTCACTGCTCAATTTCACCCCCCCTCTCCCCACTTAAAGCCCCCCCAGCTCTTCCTTGACACTTCCAGCCTGGCCCTGAAGCCACCTCGGTGGCTTTCAGGCTCTTTCCCATCCCCCTTCACTAGGTAGCGTGCCACAAATGAAGGCCACCTAATTAGTCACCTGCTTCTGCCGTGCAGCAGCTGCTCAATGTCAGACCAAAGGTCTGCCTGGTGCCGGGTGGCTTCTCCCTCCCTCCCTCCCAGGGATGAGGAACCTTTTCTAGAGGAAAAAAAAATAAAAAAAATAATAGATCCGTTTCCTTTTGAACAGTAAAAAAATAAAAATAAAAATGGAGGCAGCACCTTCCAACCTACTTTTCCTCCCTTTCCTGCTTCCTTGTGCTTTTCATAGAATTGTTTCTAGAAACATTGGTTTGAAAAAGCCATTTCAGACCATGGATTCCAACTCTTTTTTTTCTCCAAGCTTCTCTGTTTACTGGGCGGATAAAACCGTCCCTGTGCCGCCAGCTCAGGGGCTGCACCTTTCCCGGGAGCCCAGCCCAGCTCAAACATGCAAAACTCATCCGGAAACCTCCTGCCAGCTTTGCTCCCTCAAAGTCACCTTGCCCCAAAACCTTCAGCTGCAACGCTCCGGGCTTCGCTCGACAATCATTAATCGGCTTCTCCGTATGCCTGGGATGGAAAAATGCCCCAGCGGGTAACCCTGCCCTGGCAGTCCGAGATGCATCTGGCTGGAAAGCTCGTCCTCTCTGCTGCTGCTCTGCTCCTCCTGACTTTGGCTTACAGGTTTTATAAGTCCCGCTCGTTTGCCGGGGGGAAAATCCCACCAGCTGATGTGGGAGGAGAACAGAAGGCAAATGGTGCCCGGGATGGGGATGGGAATGGGAATGGGGATGGGAATGGGGCTGCGGGGCTGCGGTGGAGGAAGGGGTTTGGTGGGGAAGGGAGGAGAGGTGGTGGGGATGGAGAAGGCAGAGGGAAAGTGGGTGTTTCTGGGACGTGGTGGCAAGGGGAGTCAGGGCCGGCAAGGGGTGAGGAGGGGGAGGAAGGAAGGGAGGTTGTTTCTGGGCTGGGGTTGACTTCTAGGAGAGAGGGCATGGGCAGAAAGGGGAGCGAGCTGGGAAGTGAGCTGGGAAGCAAGCTGGGAAGCAAGTTAGGAAGCAAGTCAGGAAGTGAACTCGGAATCAAGCAAGTAAGCAAGCCAGGAAGCAAGCTGGAAAACAAACTAGCAAGCAAGGAAGGAAGTGATCCAGGAAATGAGCTGGGAAGTGATCTGGGAAGAAATCTGGGAAGCAAGCTAGGAAGTGAGCCAGGAAGCAAGCTGGGAAGTGAGCAAGGACGTGAACTGCAACATAAGCTGGCAGGTAAGCCAGGAATCAAGAAGAGAAGTGAGCAGGGAAGCAAGCTGGGAAGTAAGTCAGGAAGTGAGCTGGCAAGTGATCTGGGAAGCAATCTGGGAAGCACATTGGAGAGTAAGCTAGGAAGTGAGCTTGGAAGTAAGCTGACCAATGATCCAGGAAGTGAGCTGGGAAGTGAGCTGGCAAGCAAGTCAGGAAACAAACTGGGAATCAAGCAAGTAAGCAAGCCAGGAAGCAAGCTGGGAAATAAATTAGCAAGCAGGCAAGGAAGCGACCCAGGAAACGAGCTGGGAAGTGAGGCAGGAAACGAGCTGGGAAGTGATCTGGGAAGCAAGCCAGGAAGTAAGCTGGAAAGTGAGCAGGGAAGTGAACTGCAACATAAGTTGGCAAGTAAGCCAGGAAGCAAGAAAGGAAGTGAGCAGGGAAGCAAGCTGGGAAGTAAGTCAGGAAGTGAGCTGGCAAGTGATCTGGGAAGCAGGAAAGAAAGTGAGCTAGGAAGCAAGTTGGAGAGTAAGCTAGAAAGTGAGCTTGGAAGTAAGCTGACCAATGATCCAGGAAGTGAGCTGGGAAGTGAGCTGGCAAGCAAGTCAGGAAACAAACTGGTAATCAAGCAAGTAAGCAAGCCAGGAAGCAAGCTGGGAAATAAACTAGCAAGCAAGGAAGGAAGTGATCCAGGAAACGAGATGGGAAGTGAGCCAGGAAGCAAACTGGAAAGTGAGCAAGGAAGCGAGCTGCAAAGTAAGCTGGAAAGTAAGCCAGGAAGTGAGCTGGATTCTTCTGACCCTGGGAACACGGCTGAACCACGGAGCAGCCATGGGGAGGACACCCTTGCCCTGAGCACTGGGCTTCCCCCTGGGACTGCAAACACCCAGATGGCAGGTGAGGGACACACCCAGAGCACAGAGCAGGATTCAGCTGTTGGGGACCCAAGGCAGAAGGCCGACGGGTGCTGGGGGACAATCCAGACCCTCAGCATCATCTCAGACCTGGGGCTAACGATGACGACAAGCAACGTGGGGTCAGATGCCTCCTACTCTTTCTCCTCGGTGGCAAAGATACAGGTGGAGGAGAATTACATCCCTGAGCAGGGGGTGAGGGACGGGGCTGGGCAGCCAAGTCCTGGCCTCAAAGGCAAAGTCTACGACTACTACGTCCAGTCCATCTCCCATTCAGTGTCAAAGAAGAAGACTTTCCCCAACATCCCTCCTGGAATATCGCAGCACCGCAGCTCAGACAGGGTCAGTGAAGAGCTAAATAGCTCTGCAACCCAGGAGCCAGAGCCAGCTTTGGTGGCACTGAATCCCGTCACCTCCACCATAGTCCCATCACCTACAGAGATCCTGGAGGTCTCCCCTGAGCCACCATCTCCTGGCCGCAAGGACAGCATCCTCCAGATTGCAGACAGCCCCCACCTCCAGCTGCCCATGGAGGGTTTTGGGGTTGCAGCACCAACCCTCACACCCCCAGCAAGCCCAGGGCTGACGGCTGATGCCAACTTCTTCCAAATGCCACCACCCGCCCACCTGGACCTGGGGAACTGCTACCAGGTCCTCCTCATGGCCAAGGCTCAGAAGAAGGACGATCTCCAGGAGGCTGCCTACAAGGTGATGAGTGACAACTACTTGCAGGTGCTGAGGACACCCTCCATCTATGGCCGTCTCAACGCCGGCGAGCGGGAGCTCATCCTGCGCCGGAGGATGAAGGGGAAGATGCACGTGGCCGTGGCAGATGTCAACGTGCAGGAGCCCGGCCTCCACACCAGCCGCCTCTGCTACTACGACGACACGGGGGACAGCTGGCACCACCTCTGCCACGTCCCCCCGGAGGTGGTGTCCCGGGGCTGCGCCATGTGCAACATGTTCAACTACCTCTTCGTGGCCATTGGCTGCGAGGGCACAGGCCGCGGGCAGAGACCCTCCAACCGCGTCTTCTGCTACAACCCCCTGACCAACATCTGGAGGGAGATCTGCCCCCTGAACCAAGCGCGGCCCCACTGCAAGCTCGTGGCCTTGGACGGCCACCTCTACGCCATCGGCGGCGAGTGTCTCTACACGGTGGAGCGCTACGACCCCCGGCAGGACCGCTGGACCTTTGCTGCCCCCCTGCCCCACGACACCTTTGCCGTGGCCCACATGGCCACGGTGTGTGACGGGGAGATCTACGTGACGGGGGGCACCCTGCGCTACGTCCTGCTGCGCTACTCTGCCCGCTCCGACAGCTGGAGGGTCAGCCTGGTGGGCGGGGGCAAGGACAGGACGGTGGAGTTGGTGAGTGCCAATGGCTTCATCTACCGCTTCGACCTCCACCGCAGCGCGGGCATCAGCGTCTACCGCTGCGGAGCCAAGGCCAAGCTGTGGTACCAGTGTGCCACCTACCCCATGGCCGACCCGTCCAGCTTCCAGTGCGCCGTGCTGGGCAGCCTGGTCCACTGCGTCGGCCGGCACTTCCATGTGCGCTTCTTGGCCGACCACATCTCACCACGCTTCGGGACCAAGGAGCTGCAGCCCTTCCCATCGCCCCGCGGCAGCCTCCTGCTGGCTGTCCTGGTGCTGCCTGAGGGAGGAGTGGTGCAAACACAGGTTTGAGGGACCCGTGCTGGGGTCTGACGCAACGATTGTGATGGCTTAGACAGGACATGATGGTGAAAACTGGTAGAAGAAGCCACCAGCCCACAACAGACCATGTAGGGTGAAACGAACTCTACCAGGACAATGTTACCCATCAAGGAAGGAGACAAATTGCCCTCGGATCCTACCAGTAAACCCAGCCTTGAAGGCACAAGGAAGAGCAAAGCAGGAGCTGGGTGGACTTGTTTGCTTAGAGGTATTTAAATATAGGCGTGCTCATCGGAAGCAAATAAACCCCAGGTCTCTAAAGGCCCCCAGCTCTGCACTGCCCTAGGAGTAGCTGCTGTACACACTAGGTGGTTAATATTGACATGTAACACAGCAGGGGTTGGAGGGTGGAGGAACACAGCAGGGAGGTTTCATCCCTAAGGAGGTATCACCCAAAGGTCACCACCCATGGGCTCTATGCCAACATTGAGACTTCAGGCTTGACATCACCCCAGGGCTGGGGGCAGAGGGTGCCCTGTTCCTACCGGTGCCTTGTTATCTATTAACTTCTCCTCAGCACAGAATAATATATATATATATATTTATATACCCACTATGTCAGGAAGCTCCATAGATGTATAGACAGCTGGTCTTAAATGAAATTAAAGTGAACATTTGGTAAAATTAACCACGGGCGACTGTCGCGCATCACTTCCAGCCGTAGCCAAGCCTAATGGGAACAAAGAGGCTGAGGCATGTTTTACATCACTAATTACTGCACAAACGTCTCTGAGGAGGCCACCAAAAGCAAAGCAGGGCTTTGGATGTGGTTGCTCATCCACTATTCCCCCCCCACCAGTTTCACTCACCTCACCCTGCTGCCTCTGTGTTCTGCCCAAAAGCTACTTTGGGTAATTGCATTTTCTTCCCTTGGAGCTGTTAGGGAAATGGTTCATTATCCATCATCTGTCAGCCTCCTGATGGACAAAATCAGCTCCTAGATGGACAAAAACCTCCTGGTCCTGCCTCCTCGGTGGCATCAGGCCATGAGCACAGAGTCATGGATGCACTTGAAGTGCTTGGAGATAAGAGCTGGTGTCAGAGCAGCCCACGGTATCACCATGAGGTCTTGCTGGGAAGGGTGGTTTAGGAGAGCTTGGGTTAATGTTCTCTCAAAACACTCCCAAAAGTATTTACAACTTCTCTCAGTCACTGCCTGGAGGCCTTGTGTTCCTGGCCTTCAAGGGCTTCCTATGAAGGTCAGTGGCATCCATCCATGTTAGGAGACCTTGGAGGCTGCCTTAATTAACCCTGCCTCTGAGTTTTGCTCATTAGCCATGGCATGTTGCTTCTGCTGGTGGGGGTGAGGGATGCACCCTCTCCTTGTGGTCAAACCTGCCACAGTCCAACCACTTTCACCCACCCTGGCCCAGCTCTTCCTACCCTAGCAGGACCACCCCACAGATGACGTGCTGGGGCTGCAGCCTTCTGCATCCCATCATTTCTCTCTGCTGGGGTGCTTGGGCTGGTAAACCTTGTGAATCAAAACCCTCTTTTTAAAAATATTTTTTTTAAAAAATATTATTATTACTGTTATTGTTAGTATTTAACTGCTATTTTAGCCACCTCCACAGCTAGTGCTCAGAGCTGCAACTCCACAACATGGGCTCCCATGTGCTGCAACACATCCCTGCTTCTCCTGCAGCAAAACCCAAGCACCTGCTGCTTCACCAGAGCAAATCATAGAACCATTCAGGTTGGAAAAGCCCCTTGGGATCACCCAGTCCAACCATCATCCCTATCTACAAAGTTCTCCCCTAAACCACATCCACCAACACCACATCCAAAAGCCCCTTAAACACATCCAGGGATGGTGAGGTGACCGTTCCAGTGTCTGACCACTCTTTCTGTGAAAAAAATGTTTCCTAATGTCCAGTCTGAACCTCCCCTGGTGCAGCTGGAAGCCCTTCCCTCTTGTTCTGACACTAATTACCCAGGAGAAGAGACCAGCACCAACCTCTCTACAATGACCTTTCAGATAGCTATAGAGACTAATGAGGTCTCCCCTCAGCCTCCTCTTCTTCAGACTAAACTAAATCTAGCCCCTTTGCAACCTGCAACTAGACTAAATCCTGCAGAAGCCTCTTGTCCCCCTCAACATCCCAGCTCCGTCTCCTTCATCGTCCCTGGGGAGGTGAGGACACGCTGGCCCGGGGGGCACAGGGGAGGGAGCTGGAGCCCTTCTAGGTGACAGCTTTTCTTTTTCACCCCAGAAAATTTGTCCTAGGATCCTGCCCTGCTCCTGAGCACCTCTTTTCTTCCTTTTAATATTTCACTTGCCCTTTAACTCCTGCCTGCCAGGCTGTGACCTCAAACCCCGGCAGCTTTTCTGCATTCCCCGGCGAGACGCTGAGCAATGAGTAAGGACGAGCGGGGTGGGCAGCTCTCCCCCTGCTCCTGCACTCTCCAATATTAACATGATTCACCTAGGGAGGCAATTTTGGAGATTAAAAGCTCCGGGGACAACCAGTGCTGGAACACTTCTTGTTCTGAAGGGAAGGACAACCAGGTTTGGAGCTAAAAGGACACAGCAGGTTGAGGGAAACGTGACTTCTGAGGGAAAGCAGAAGGGAAGGGACAAATTCAAGATGATACTCAGACCTAGAGGATTTTTTTTTTCTTTATTCCCATACTGGTGGAGGGGAGGAGCTGTTGGAGGGTTGGCAGGTGTGGTGGCAACAACAGCATCACCAGCTAACTCCTGCCACCACCAGCAGCTGCTGGCATGTAAGACAAGGGGTAGTTGGTTTCTGGCCCAGGTTGCCCAGGGAAGCTGTGGCTGCCCCATCCCTGGCAGTGTTGAAGGGCAGGTTGGATGGGGCTTGGAGCAACCTGGGCTGGTGGGAGGTGTCCCTGCCCATGCAGGGGGTTGGATCTAGATGATCTTTAAGGTCCCTTCCAACCCAAACCACTCTGTGATTTTATGATTTCCAGCTGTGCTTGGTGCTCACGTCTGTTTTTGTGATGGGCAGTTAGAAGTCACAACAAACCCAGCAGGGCCAGGGGTTACCTGCAGGGTCCTGCTCTCGGGAGCCTCTTCCCTTGCTGCAAGCCAGGAACCTCACCGGGTCAGGGACCACCATGACTGGGTGCTGGAAGAGAAAACACAACAACCACTGGGCTCATGTAAGTTTGGAAACCAATTTCCACCATCCAGAAGCAATTCTTCGATCCCTATGATTCCCTCAAGTGTGTCACCAAAGATGGTCTCAGCTCCTTGATCCTTCCACCAGTGCCTGGGCTCGTCACTGCCCTCTGAGCCTCATTGCCTGGTTTATCATAGAATGGTTTGGGTTGGAAAGGACCTTAAAGACCATCAAGATCCAAACCCCTACACCAGCCCAGGCTGCTCCAAGCCCCGTCCAACCTGCCCCTCAACACTTCCAGGGATGGAGCATCCCCCAAAACAAAGGTGCAACCACTCAACCCCTCCGCTTTGCACCCCAGCAGAACCTTGGCACTAAATTCAGTTTTTTCTTCTAATCAGGCAGATCCATTATCTACCCCCACCACGTTTATTTAGGCAATTACATAGTTTAATGTACACTGATTCTGATTCTTAATTTTTACATTTTTGATTGGGGTAAAAAAAACCCCAGTGAGTGACGTGCTCATTTGCTCGATGCTCTCTCTCTTTTTTCTCTTTGACTTTGCACTGCAAATGGAAATTGGGAGTCAATTAAAGAAGTGCAAAACCAGCATTTTAAAATCTTTTTTTTTATTAGTTAAACATGGCTACCTTCAGTGCAGGGGAAAAAAAAAAGCCAAAAAGCAAAAAAGATGAGCTTATCCAGACATGTTTTGCATTTCAAACTGACGAGATACATGAAAGAAATATTAAGCGTAACGAACTGACAAATTAAGTATCTTGTTTCTAACAAGCTGGAGCAACCTCGTGTCAGTGGTTGAGGAGCTGGGTGGGAATTTAAAGTCAGAGGAAGGGAAAAACTCCTGGCAGCAGCTCCAGGTGCTGGTAAGTGAGGTGGTACCTTTCAACCTCCAGCTGTGGTTTTTCCTAGACCCTCCAACAACATCTACATCGCTATAGGTTGTGTTGCCATCAGGAGAGACTCCAGGAGATGTTTAAAGCCAAGGAGATGTGTCCTGGCCTCTTCTTATTATTCTTTTATTATTATTATTATATTATCTTATTCTTATTATTTCTTCTCAAAGTCCAAGCTGATCAACCAGAGCTACCAGCCATCCCTTGGTAGGACAGATCCTGGAGGCACCAACCTCAACCTTCCTCATCTTTGATTTACCACCAGGGAAAACCCAGTAGCACGGATGAGAAGCTACACCAAAGCAGCCACTAATAAACCAGAACTTAAGGCAATACCATCATTTACGAGCCCCAGACCTCCTTGCATGGTGCCAAAGGGATATTTCTTGGCAGTTTCCATGAGGCATCACTCTGGAAACATCAGCCAGCACCTTGTGAGATTGAGCTCCTGGCCTCTCCTGCTCCTTTCTTCATCAAGTCCAAACTGACCATCCACAGCCACCAGCAACCCCTTGGGAGAACAGGTCCTGGAGGCACCAACCCCAACCTTCTTCAGCTTTGGTTTACCACCAGGGCCAACCCACCTGTGTAGACAGGGGGCTAGACCTAAGCAAACACCAAAGAACCAGGACTCAACATGACACCATCATTTATTAGCCTCAGACCTCCTTGTGTGCTGCCAAAGGGACCTTTCTTGGCACTGTCTACCAGGCACCATTATGGGAACATCAACCAGCACCTTGTGAGACTGAGCTCCTGGTCTCTCCTGCTCCTTTCTTCACCAAATCCATCCACAGCCACCAGCAACCCCTTGGGAGAACAGGTCCTGGAGGCACCAACCTTAACCTTCCTCAGCTTTGATTTGCCACCAGGGCCAACCCAGTAGCACGGATGAGGAGCTACACCAAAGCAGCCACTAATAAACCAGAACTTAAGACAATACCATCATTTATGAGCCCCAGACCTG